TCCACCTCCTGCAGCATCTCATCTGACATCAAGTCTGTGCATCGTGTTTAAGATCCAGTAGGGTGGGGCAGCTCTTGACTTTTTCTGCAAAAGTAAAGATTTGCAATGAAATGCACCTCGAGCTCTCATGACGTTTAAGAAGCTACTGAAAGGTATGTGCAGGTACCTAAAGAGAGCCTGTGCTTAAGTTATGGTGACTTTGGTGGCTGTAGAGAAACGCTCTGGATGGCCTTTCAGTACCTCTCCTTTTAACGAATGTCAATTTTTGACACCAACTTTTTTTGACGGGTGAATTCACTATTTAGGTATTCTGACAGCACCAGGTTCTGGCTGTCAGAGATAGCATGGAGTAGCATCCACTTTGTGCAGTGTGGATGGGGGAATCAAGTGTTTTTTCCCATTTCTGAATGAGAAAACCTACAAGTATATGGTCAGCTTAAGGTTTTTGTTAGATGAGTGCTGGATGCATAAGAGCTTGTATTTTGCTCACTCTTCAAAAGCTCAACAAGCCGAGTGACACACCAGTGGTAAGGAGCCGAATAATATAGATCAAAGGAAAAACATATCCATAACAAAAATATAAACAGAGAAATAAACTTTATTTTATGATTGGAATCACATGGTGTATAGTTAATAGTTATGTATGACCAATTGGGGGTATGTTTATATGACTACGTGTGGGTGAGGAGCCTAAATATGTGTGACTGCTGTGGGATGCTGAAACTGTGAATAACTGCTATGGTGGTGAAAGATCTGTATATCTGAATTGTGGGTTGTTGTTTTTTTTGGGGGGGGGGGGATGTAGGACCCCTAGGGGGAAGGCAGGGGATGAATAAATAACTTCTAGGAGGAGGACTGCATATGCAGCACACTGCCCTAGGTAATGTCCACATGTGGTCCTGAGCTTCTATTAATGAAAGAACTGAAGTGGTGTGCCAGGGACAGTCAGGCTGGGGAGAAGTGCGCTAGATGATGCTGGACATCCTCCAGCCAGGAAATGACATGGGCTCTGTCTGACTTGCTGAAGCTTCTAATGCACACTGTTAAGCTCACCGTGTGCAGTGAAACACAGAAAGCATTTTCAGTACGGGAGAGCAGCCCTTCAACTGTGCAGCTTAAAAAGGTTACCTTGAAAGCAATCAATGTTCTTAAACAAACATCACCGCTCAAAACCACCAGGACTTTCTAAAGGACTACAGGACAATGAGATAAAAGCACAATCACAGCAAAACCTCATCACAACTGTTGGGCTTGGTGAAAGGAGCTTTCTGGGTCAGCCCCTGGCTCATTAGCCAGAGGCTGATGATGATGATGAAGATAATAATTCATTGTCCATTGGCAACTCTGTGTGCAGCTTGTGGTGAGCTATAGGGAACCTGTTGCTTTACCCTACACAAACAAAGTACAGGCTCACATTAAAGGTAATGCATCTTACGCAGTGCTGTGAAAAGTTTTTGGTTGACCAAAAATAAGCTTCTCCTACGTTTACCCAATCAGATCTGGTCAGTTGGGTGGCCTGCCACATTGTGCTCACTGGCAGAAGTGGGAATAGTCTTCTGTGCTTTGCATCTTTTGGCACATAACACAGACCATGTCGGGTGCCACAGGGCTGTCCCAGCAGCGCACACTGTTTGACACTTCACCCCATTAGACAAGCGGGTCTGAGTAGGTGAGCTTCGATGAACATCACTCTTGTACCCTATGGTTCCCTATAACCTGGGAATTGTACAGCATTATAGTAGCAGTGGTGCAGTTTTTACCTTTTGGTTAGAGTAGGTAATACAGGGGTAGCCAAACTCCAGCCCTCCAGCTGTGGTGAAACTACAAATCTTATGAGGCATTGCAAGATTCTCACAGACATGACTCCCGGACAGAGATGCATCATGGGATTTGTAGTTTCACCACAGCTGCAGGGCCGGAGTATTGCTACCCCTGAGATAATAGATAAAAACTGTTATTTTTATTTCTTTTTTTTGTCTTTGTATCTTATTGGGAAATTTCTCTTCACTGCCTATCCCAGAAACACAACAGCAAGTGAGAGGAAATCTCTACAAAGTGAGGCGACCAGAGCAGGTATCTGCAAACGGAAGATTTCCTCTCTGTTCCTGTTCTGGTGACATCTGTAAAGTGGACTCTGACTTCTGCAATCACTAGTGGAATTTGCTCCATTGCTGTTGGACATGTTCCTGGAACTCAATCGCTGGCAATGCATTGGTGACAGAACAACGTATAGTGGCTTGGTAGTGAGGGTACGACTCTATAGGTTGAGTTTTAGGGGTTCCATCAGTGGTGAGGTAGACTTACATGAGCCCAATGCTGAAAAGAGACTGCAACATTTTACACAACAAGGTAAAGAAAAATCAGGCTTTGCGTCCCTTCCTGTGTTTTTAGATGAGTACTTTGTTGTGTTCACCCACAACCTAGTTTTAGATTAGACACCAAATACGGTGAAGTGCTCCAATGATTGGAATGCGTTCCTTGCTGGGATTCCCCTCACAGTGACACATTACCTCTTACATTCTTTGTTGCTGTGAACAAACACAACTTCCTCTAGTGTACGATATTTAGTTGTTTTACTTGTGTAACAGTCAGTAACAAATGATAACTATCTCCTGTTCACGTGGCGTTTTTAGCAACGCAACTCGTTTTCGTTAAAGTAGAACTGGCAAGCAAGATCGAAATGCTTCTGTTAGAGACCCTTCTCATAGACAAAGCTTCAGCACTTCTGCATCTTATTCCACAAGAAAGAATCTTTTACCTTCATTTGGAACAGATAATGAGCAAAACCGCAAGATATATTAAAGTGAAATTAAAGTCAAATTTAATATCAGCTGTTTTATTGAAATGCTGATGAAATCACTTAAAATGGATGCTGCTCCTTGATTTAGCTTCCTGTAGAATCAGTTGGTCCCCTGACCATTGGCTCTGAAATCTTGTTTTAGGGTAGGTTCCTTTCACTAGCAGGGTCCTATGTAGCCACCCTTGTGTGTGCTAGTAAGCTGTGTGTGTCTCCACAAACACACAGGCACAGCAAGGCAAGTAATTCCTCTGCTCCCCTCTTCCTTCCTTCTCTAAGCTAGTAGATGAACAGCGGCTGGAGTCTTCTCTGTCCCTCCTGATTTTGTACTGGGTAGGAAGCTGAGCCGAGAGAAATTCTTTGCTTGATGATGTATATTTGTTTGATTATTGAAAAAAGTTTGAGCGTTCAATACTACTTTAACCCCAGATTCAGAATCGGTTATTGTACACAAATAAACAAGTTGCTTTGATTGCAGACAGGTACATGGAAGGCTTTAGTTCGCTTTTGGTTGAGAAAGGTCCCGTTCTTTATTTCTTTTGCCCCATGAAGAAAAACTTCTTTGTACATAGAATGAAACTTAAAGCAGAACTTCAGGATGTGTAGAAACCCCCACACTTCAAGAGTTAACTGCTCGTTTTGGTCAAGGGGGTGGATTAAAGAAAATATACCTACCTGATCCTCAAACCCACCTGGCTGCTAGATCTGTCCCCATGGCTTCTTTTCCCCCCGGGTTTCGTTGTCAACGGGCCCGTGATATCATCACGACTACTGCAAAGCCCATTCACCTGGGGATGCTGAGAGACATACTACAGCCAGAACGGAGGAGAGAGGTGAGCGCTGACTGCCGCAGGACCAAGGATTGGGGGAGTATATTTGTATTCTGGCCCCTAGAGAAAAACAAGCCATAAACGCTTGCAGCCCCACTGCACGGGTTCATTTTTGCACATTTTGCAGTTCTGCTTTAACGATGAACTCTTCCATTAATATATACATATATAAAAGGCTGCTGGACTAAAGGTGTAAGCATGTGGTAGTAATCATTTTGAAATGTAGTCTTTGGCTTCCTTCTGCAGCTATAAAAAGAGGTGTAGCCACTAGAGCTTCCTCTACACGGGTCACACCCCGTTTTATTTGAAGCCATTGCCAATTACTTTATTATGTGCAGCATAAAATTATAAAAGGGGTGTCACTCTGTCCTTTTTATTCTTTTTACCTATATATTTATATTGTAACCCTTTTTAAGACATTTTGGTTTTGATCCTGAAATTCAATGATCACCTAACCAGTGAAATGGCCTGCAGATATTATATTTTTTTAGAGGCACAACAAAAATGTTGTGGTCTCCATCGTAAGAATACAAAGGTGGACAGTTGGGAGTGATGATTGAGAAGTGAGCGAGTGACGGTATGTGTTCTCTCACTTCCCGATCTGTTGAGCCAACGTGTGACAGTTTCATTGTCACATATCGGCTCGGTCTATAAGGATGAGTGATTTTTCACTCGACTCATAGTTTTCCTTTTAAAGAAGAACTCCAGAAATTATCCCTTGCAGCCCCACTGTAGAAGTTAACTGCTGGTTTTGGTCTAGGAGCTGGAATACAGAACATATACTCATCTGATCCTCGGGTTTGCGGATTTCAGCGCTCACTTCTCTCCACCTGTGGCATGTCCCTTGGCGTCCTCACACCTAATGCAGGTGAATGGACCTGTATTAGATGTGATGACATCAGCAGGTCTTAGACAGTGGGCAGCCCAGGAAGAAGAGGCTGCAGGGACCAGTCTACCTGGCAGACAGGTAAATAGATCTTCTTTAATCCAGCCCCTAGACCAAAGCGAGCAGTTAATCTTTGCAGTGTGGAGGTAACCCCACCGCAAGGGTTAATTTGGTTTTCCTGATAAGGTGCAGGGACGCACTGGGGGCCCAGCAACCAAAAATGCACGCTGGTTAATCCCTGGGGTTATTCTTTAAGGTATTTATTCTAATGAAAGCTATAGATTGAAAATTATTTTTGAAATGATGTTACCATGTTAATGTCTATTTCAGACTGGGTTTTTATATACTCTACTTTTGCTGTTGCTGCATCCCTCTTTAGCTACATGGTAAGGTGGCCCTTGCTGTTAAAGGGGCATAGATCTGGAATCTGAATTGCTGCCTGATATGCTGGTTTAACAATTTTATTTTGCATTTTTCTATTTTCCAGGTATACAGGGCCTTTATGACTTGCTGAGAGGCCGAGCCATGTTATGCTGGGGGCATTCTGATTTTGGACAACTTGGAATACATCATGGGTCCATAAGTTTTATCCTAGAGCCCGTGGCTTCCACTTTTTCTCTGGCCAAGTGTGTCCAACAGGTGGCATGTGGGGAGCATCATTCTGTCTTCCTGCTAGATGATGGTCGAGTTTATAGCTGCGGTAGGAACAGTGCTGGCCAGCTCGGACATGATCAGCATGATAAGGAGCCAGGTATTGTCCATTTATTAATGTAATTCAAATCAAACCTGTATTGTAATCAAATGTATTTACATTTTTGTTTGCTAGAATTTGTTTTTGAGAGTCATTGGCTAGAAAGAAGCTTAAAAAAATAACCTTCAAGGTTTTCAGTTTAGATGGTGATGAAATCTAAAACTTATCAACGTATCAAATATATATTAATTTTTTCAAAAAACTGCTCCTACCACCTACTAGGCTCAGGAAATGCGCAGGTAAAAAGTGCTCCCTCCAACAGATCCCCAATGGGTTTTTTTTTCTTACTGGGTGGCAGAGCATGCAGCATAAAATGGTTTCTTGGGTCTGTCTCCTTCTACCCACTGCCCAAGGGTGTTTGGCGTGTGAGTGGGATTATTTTTATTTAGGCATACATTGGTGGAGGTTGCCGACCATCTTTGGCCCTTTCTGGCTGCAGATACAGGACACATTAATGCCTGGCTCTAGCTCTTAGACTACTCACCCTAGTTGGTGGGAGGAGCAGTCTTTAGGTGGGTCTCTATGGAGTAATGGAAATGGCATTATTAATAAGGGTAATCCACGGAGAACTCCTGCTATGTATAGTAACTGTTTTTAGCACCTTAACAGTCTGTGCCTACGCCATCCACCCACTGTGACTGTCAGCCAAACTTAACAGAGCTGAGAACACAGAGCAGGTAGTCACTGCTAATATTGTTAGGAGAGGTAAACCCAATGTTAGGGTTAGGCAAAGAAAGTTGAAGGTATAATAGTACTCATTTGGTTCTGTTCCCCTGATCCATAGCCAAATGTCCCAGTGTTGTTTACTTTTGGGATTTACAGCCAACTGTTATGTACCTTCAAAATTAATTGCCAGTCCCATATAGCCTGGGAGGTTCTCAAACACCTAAAGACACGTAGAGGCCACAGGTCCCAGACATAGACTGCATCAGGATAGTGAATCAGGAAACTGTGGCCATTCAGGAGAGTACTATTTACACTACTTAAAGTGACATTAAAGTCAAAGATTTCTTCCCCTCCTCCAATGTTAATTTACCTTAAATGATGTTTCTTAATCCGATCTTCCTCTTCTTTCCTGATGTTTTCATCTGTCCCTCCAGCGCTGCTGCGGGTCTCCGATCCAGCGCTGACTCCTCTGTCCTTGCTGGCACTTCCTGTCCCACGGTGTCTGCATGCGGGTGCACGCATCCATAGACTTACCTTGTGTCTCTCCTCGTCTCCTGGCCGAAAATGTGAACTGCGCATGCGCCCGCCCGAGAATTTTCACATTTTCAACGGGAACGCACTGGGAAGACACAGGTAAGTTTAAAGCGTTTTGTTTTTTTTTTTACACTTTTTGCATATATCTACTGCTCGCTAGCAGTAGATATATGCGAAAACACAGGAGGGTTTAATAACCCTTTGATCATTTTCACTGATTTGCTTCTGTGTCTAATTAAAGTAACGGTCTTCCTTAACCCTATTATGATTAGGAGGCTTGGACTGAGTAAATATCTGTGTTAGGGATGAACCGATAACGGTTTTTCGGTATCGAGTGCCAATAATTTGCCTTTGGCACTCGTCGATGCAGAGTACCGTTGCTTCCGCTCGCATGGAGCCGGCTTCCCGGGCAATCAGATTGCACGAGAAGTTGGGTCCACGTTGTTTGGCCGGCTTGATTGTGCTTGGCCAGGAAACCGTCTTCCCAGCCAATCATCATTGAGCCGGCTATTCAGCTGGCTCGGTGGCGGGAAGCCGGCTTCCCGGCCAATCAACACCGAGCCGGCTTCTCGACCAATCAGGGAGGCGGGTCATTATTTGCAGCCCAGCTTCCGGATCGCACAGGAACCTGGCTCCATGTTCCCCTACGGGACTGCCAGTCATAGAAAATCTTCCGCTGACCGGATGTTCCAGTATCGGGGGAAAGTATCGGAGCATTTGGGGGAGTACGAGTACTCGCCCAAATACTCGGTACCTGCACCAATACTATTGTGCATCCCTAATCTGTACGCAGTATTAAACTTCACATTCTGAAGCTATACACTCATATACAAAGCCTTAGTATGAACCCATCTTCAATATGCTGCTAATTTCTAGGCACCTGATCGTAAACTGGATTTTCTGAAATTGGACTTAGTCTACAGAACTGCACCTAAATGAAAGCATCATGGACCATGGGTATTGGAGATGCGCCCTAAAAAACATTCCTAAGCCCCCCTACGTGTTTCCCACCACCACTGAAAATGGCAGCCAAGACTTGCTTTGTGTTACAATAGCGCCTGTAGCCACTTCTGTGCAAAATGACACATGCAGTTATTGTGCAATTGTCTTTGAGAAATACATTGTAACAAAGTAACTGTTACATTGTATTTATTCAGTTTCATTCCTATGTACAAAGGATTAAAGGGAGAACCTTTGATCTGCATATGACATCTGTTAAAGTCCAACTTAAACTTCAGTTTTAATCAGCAAAATACATTTCAAGTGCATCAAAGCAAAACGTGTGCCAAGTCTAAAGGCTCATTTACACTATGGCTGTAGACATGGTTTTCTCTGCATCTGAGCAACGCGGGTCTCCCAAGGGCACATAGAGAACAAATGTTTTCTATGTGCCCCGGTCACACCACATTGAAGTAGAGAGATTCGGACTCAGCAGGGGAAACCTTATCCAAATACACATTCTTATTTAGTCCCCGTTCACACCAGGGCGTTTGTAGCTTGTATTTTCAGCACGGAAAAGCTCCGCACAATAAATCACATTGATTTCTATAGTTCCCGTTCACGTCTCAGCACAGCGTTACAATGAGAAATAAGCCTGTCGCTGGAAAAGCCAATCACTGGGAAAAAGGTACATAAGCTTTTTTGGGGGGCAGATCAGCGCAATTAGGGAAAAAGGGTCAGATTGTGCTGATCTCCCCAATAAGAGGCTCATGGTTCACAGGCTTGTGCAGAGCTTTTCCGTGCTAAAAAATACAAGCTACAAACGACCTAGTGTGAATGGGGACTAAGTCATAGTTTGTGTAGGAATTGGCAATCCTAGCTGGCTGATAGGGGTGGTAGGATCTCAAAGAATGTAGGTGCAGGCACTTAATATGCAGGCTATTTATTTATTTGATTGATTGTCTTATAGCCAAAAATACAGAGTCTTTTTATTTGGGGACATTTTCCAATATATTCATGCTGCAATAATTCGTAATAGCATGTCTCACGCCTGTGCTTTGCATACCCAATAATTTTGAGTTTCAGCCTTGTAGCTATTCATTTGAATATGCTTGTGTCTTTTATTGCAATAGCATGACCCTTGTGTTTTCTGCTTATCAGATAATGCTGTTTGAAACAGACTTTGCATAGTGACTTATGTTGTTATATGAAGATATGAGACAAAGGGGGTAATCTACTTATCAAGAAAGCCTGGAAATGGAGCCTCGTGACTCTTCCTGGAATTTGTAGTTCTGGAAGTGTAGTCTGTTTATAGCTGTGATTCTTGTACTAGTTGCTCCACAAGTCAAATCTTTGTTAAAAATCCACCCAGTATCTGAATAATCATCGAGAACCGTGGGTTAGTAATTCTCCTCTAACACCAATAAACAGTAAGTGCAAGAAAAGAAGGTGCTTTTTACATGGAACGCCTTATCTTCTTGCTTCCATAATACATTCCTGTTTATCTAATATCTAGTAGCTGAGCTTACACCAGCCACCTGGAATTCAGGAAATGAAACCAAAAATCAATAACAGAGCTATTTGTCTTACGACAAAACCGCCATGTTGGGTAGGCAAACACCAGGAGTGCCAGCAATAGGACAGTGATGCCTAAAAAGTACCTTGAGACACGCATACATTCAAGTAGATATGTTTTGTTTACCTTCTGTAACTACTGGAAAGGTGGTATAGAAAATAAGGTTTCAGAATTGATTGCGCTTCACTACTAATCTTGGTAGCCTGTTTAGCATATTAACACCACTAATGTGCAGTAATTAAATATTTGTTGATATGTTGCACATATAACTAAGTAATATTGTTGCCATTTTTTTACATCTATTTTATGTCCATCTTTTCTGTACGTATTATTAAAGTTGTAATTTGCAGTTCTTTGGAGGAGTATTTGGACCACATGTGAGCTTCTTGAAATCAAGTAGGTTGCATACTCCTGGTTTAGATTTTTGATAGATATCAAAATGGCATTTAAAGCGTTATTAAAGCTCCCCCCAAAAAATGTAATACAGTGGTACCTCGGTTCACGAACTTAATTGGTCCCATGATTCCGGTCGCAAACTGAATTAGTCGCGAACCGAATCACATTTCCCCATAAGGTTCTATGTAAATAGGGTTAATCTGTTCTGACCAATATGAACGTGGTCGCGAACCGATTTTAGTCGCGAGCAGAATCCAATTTTCCCATAGGGCTCAATGTAAATGAGTTTAATCCGTTCTGAACCATATGCAAACAAAAAAATGTAACCACAAAAATATGAAACAAAGTACAGTACACTATGAAGAGAGTGAACACTAACCTTTCTGCACTTTCTGGTTACCTTCATTACCGCTCTGCACGTTCTTGTCACCTTCATTATCGCTCTGCACATTCTTTTTACCACCATGCTTGCTCTGCACTTTCTTTGGAGCCATGATGGATTGAATAATGTGCTAAAAAGCACACAAAAAACTTCACAGCAAGTGTGCACAGGTCTGTCCTCGACCGCGATCTCGACTAGAGTAAGCCACGACCACGCGTCAGAACGGGGAAGATGGTCGTGTTTGTCACCCGATGCAGAGTTCGCGAACGGAGGCAAAATTTTGGCAAACTTCCTGTTCACGAACCGAATTGTTCGCGAACAGAAGCGTTCGTGAACCAAGGTATCACTGTATATTGAAACCTTAACTGTGGTGGCTGCAATTTGTTTTTTTTTTTTTTTTTGCTTTTTTTTAATCTGGTGATCCAGCCAGTAACACACTTCCTGTCTTAGGGTGGTTCCATTCAATGGAGGAGTAATGGAGCCACCCTCGAACAGCAGCATTGTCACCCTGTGGAGAGGGTAGCATTAGTGTTAGACTCACCAGATTTAGACAGACTAGACTACCAAACAAATCTGAACTCCAGCTTTTTAAGCAGTTATAGCAAGTTTTTTCTTTCCTTTTGGGTTAAAGATTTTGCATATATGAATTAAAGTCGATCATTGTAAGCTCCCTTGTCAGTGTTACATGGGTTGTCTCAACCATCGATCTGACACTTTTTTTTCTGGGCAGCTTGGTCTGTTAAAGAAAGTTGAAAAATAATGAATCTACTGGCCAGATCATCAGGTGAAATAAAGGAAAAAAGTCTAAAAAAAAAGAAAACTAGTGCAGCCAGCACATTTAGGGATTGGTCAGCTGCAATATATGAAATTGTTGTTTTTTTTTGTTTTAGATATTCTTTAATGAGAGATGTTTTGTTTGTTATATCTGAACATTCAGACAAAAAGAAAAAAACATTCTTTCCATCATCGGTTATTGTGTCTAATTGTGTGTTCCTTAGGTCATGTGAATGCATTGGCAAGTGAACGTATAGTCCATGTTGCATGTGGCCGATCCTATAGTGTGGCACTCAATAACCTAGGCCAGATCTTCTCATGGGGTGCTGGTTCCGATGGACAGCTGGGACACTCCACCACTGAAGCGTGTATTCCAGTGCCCAGGTATAGATATGCAAAGCAACCTTTTTCCAAATAGTCATTTTGTTAACATAACTGCTTTTGTGCCAAAACTCTCACATGGCATTGCCCTTAATTTTGCAAATGATGAATGTAATTTTGGGGATTTATGAACTGATATTAAAGTCAAAATCTTTTAAGCTATTTCAAATGCTGATGACATCACTTACAATGAATGCTGCTTCTTGATGTTTAAAAGTTTTGTTTTCCTGCAGAATCAGCTGGTCCTCAGCAACTCACTCATATCCTGTTTTAGGGCCCATTCACACCAAATTCTGACTTAAAATTTAAGTCAACGGAGGTCCATTTACTTGCAAAGTTAACCTTCGTTGACTTCCGTTCTATTGCGTTTTTTTGCCAACCTTTTTTTTAATTAACATGTCCTGAGTGGACAAACTTCTATGTATTTTTTCTTAACTTCTGTTGCTATGCATTTCCTTCTTTTTGACATGTTCAGTTCTGTTGCTCTGAACAAAAGTAGAGAATGCTCTACTTTTTTTTTTTTCCATTGCACTGCAACGGAACACAAAGGTGTGAACTGGTCCCATTCAGTTTTTTGGATTACAATCTATTGGCATCTGTTGACATCTTTTGAAAAACAGATTGCAATGGATCTGGTGTGAACAGGGCCTAAGGGTGGCTCCTTTCCCTTACAGGGTCCCATGGAGCCACCCTTGTGTGCTAATAGGCTGTGTGTGTCTCCACAAACATACAGACACAGCAAGGCAACTTCCCAACAAGGCACCACTCCCCTGCTCCCCTTTACATCTCCCTCACTGCTCCCCTCTCCTCCCTCGTCCCTTCTTCAAGCTAGTAGATGGACAGCTGCTTGAGACTGCTCTGTCCCTTGTGATCTTGTACTGGACAGGAATTTCAGGGAAGATAAGCTAAGAGAGTTTGAGTCAGCTGTTTAGAAACATGATGAGTGCAAGTGCTTGGGTAAAAATGGAATTAAATACTTTGCAGGGCAATGTAGATTTGTTTTATATGGATTCATTATTAAGAGAAAGATTGAGTGATTAATACTATAATGCTCCAGAACCATCCATTAGTGGGGTGGCTCACTAATGCGTTAGACCCCTTTCACATGGTCAGGTCCACCTGCAAGTTTTTAATACCTGATCGGATGCCCAATGTAAGTCTATGGGCAGCCGTGTGTAAATGGATGGCCGTCCGTTTACACGCGGTTACCCCCTCCTCTGGCCAGGTCCGGTAAAACAAGCTGATCAGAGATCCATTTTGCCGGACCTGATCGTGCTAGATCGGACACGTATCTGCTTACATTCAATTCCCCATAGAATGACATGGGGTCTGGCAGTTTCAGTTATGGTGGAAAAAAACTGTATGGACACAAATGTCACAGCAGTGGCATCCACTCCGTACTGCTCTGGTCAGGGTGGGATTCGTGCATAGATCCTCTTCTGATCTGCCCGTGTGAAAGGGGCCTTACAGTACTGGGGTCCTGAGCTCGTTCAATGGCCTGACAATGACATTATTCTGTCACACATATAGAAAGTCACACGAGGCAGAGCCAACTGTGGCTAGATGCTAAGGCTCCAGATAATGCAAAAGGTTACACTATAGCAAAAGCTGAAATTTCCCTTTCAAGATTTGTTATGTTTTGAACCTCTTTGTAAAACCCCTGTTTGATTTATACTTCCATACAATCCCCTTTTTTCCCCTCCTGGTTATATGTTCGTATTATTTGTAGCGTTCCCGTGGTGACAGCGTCATCCTACATTCAGCTAAACTTGTAAAGCCAGTGAATAAAACAAATAGCTGAATCACTGGGAGGAATAAAATGAAAGATGCAAAATAATACCACATCTGTAACAAGATCTCCCTGCAATATTTCTTCCACTATAAACCTATTTAATCTGACTTGATCTACTTATTGCTTAAGCTGGTGTATCTGAGACCTTGCCCTGGGGAAAAAAATCTGTTTGGGAAGTTTGCAAAGAGGAATTGGAGTATGACGCTCGGCAAATAGTGACATGAACAAAAGGAGTCAAAGTGTTTACAAACGGCCTAGAAAATCAGCAATGGGCTGCCAGTGAAAATGAAAGTAGAGCGGAAGGGGGAATTCCATTTCAGGGGACAATCAAAACAAGTGCAGCCATTACTAATTCCTCATTTCATGTCATAAGAACAGCCTTTGTTGTGCAATGCTAATACATTTCTGGAATGGGTGTGGGAGCACCTGTTCATAGAGGACAATATTACATAAAATCATACCACAACCGAACACTGTGCTGACAACCACATGTAACCATTATAAAGATTCACAGAGTCTGTCTACAATGCTACATTCCAGATGATTGCAAATAGATGACTAACTACAAAACCTTTTATTTGTTATGACTAGCAATTCTAAGTCACTGTTCATCTTCACAAAGGCAGAAGTGTATCTACAGCCAACTGCTTGCTTTTTTTTTATAGCTAGAGTACAGTAAGAAACCCTGTCAGGTTTTCTTATTGTTGTTGTCCCTAATGGATAGATTCATCTTGGTTTGCCTAAAAGGAGATTTCAACTCATTCCCTGATTTGCCTACAGGGCAGGAAGTGAAAGAAAGTCTCCCAAACAGAACATAGGCAGCAAAAAAGAACCAGTGATGGAGTTCTTCCAGAATTGACAGCTGTCTAAGAGGAGATTTCAACTCCTTTCCTGTTTTGTCTACAGGACAGGAAGTGAAAGGAAGTCTCCCAAACAGAGCATGGACAGCAGAAAAATAGAGAACCAGTGGTGAGGGAGTTCTTCCAAAAGTGACAACAGTCTAAAGGTGCCCATACACCTTACGATTATCGGACGATATTTGTATGCGATCAACTTTTCGGCCGATAATCGTATGTGTGCATTGCAGTGCCTGACCGACATTACTGTACAATCGTACGACTTTTGACGGTCAAGCATGTTTGCAAACTTTGCTAGATCGTACGATTTTCGCAAGGTTGTTCGCATTTCCGTCTGTCAAAAGTCGTACGATCTACACTGCGCTAACGAAAATACGGCAAATCAATTACCGCATTTCGTCCAGGTGCTTTTCATTTAATTACGGCTAAACTAATCTTGCGATCATCGGGGCAGGATGGGGCTGCCGTACGAAAATCGTACCACTATTCGATCGGACGAAAAGTTTCGTCAATAATCGTAAGGTGTATGGGCACCTTAAGAGGAGATATCAACTCATTTCCTGTTTTGTCTACAAATCAGGAATTGAAAGTCTTCCAAAGCCTTCCAAACCGAGCATAGACCACAACAAAACCCAAAACAATAAAGCGCTGCGTAAATTGTCAGCTCTATATAAATAACTGTAGTAATAATATTTCCTTATGTCTGGAGTTTAGATTTCTGTATGCATCTTTGAAGTCCTCCAAAAGGTTGAGTTTGGTATGGTGCCTAGTTTGTTATACACCAGTTTCTCATGTTTAAACCAGAAGGTTAATCTGCTTATGTTTAACCTTCCCTGAATTCTCCTTCCCCCTACTCCCCCCTTCATCAATGTGCTAAGAAAATCTTATTAAAACCTTTCCATTTTCATCACATACCTTTGTCTCTGTGGTTCTCTATGCAATGTAGGCATATCATAGCTGGTGGGAGGGGCCAGCAGGGTGCTGTGCATAGCTTCCTGAAGACATCACAGCATTCTGCCTCAGTACTGCTGTTGAGACCCCTCACCCCTGATGCCAGCAGTGGGCTGGCTGTTGCGAGGAGTTATGCAAATATCGAAATGCCTTATGGGTGGATGTCAAACTGGAGGAGTGGGCATTCATAGACCGGCCCACATGTGATGCTGAGCCTTCACGTTTGAAAAAACTGAAATCCAATGAATAAAAGGAGCGGGCGTCTGGCTGGATGTCTTCTAGCCCGGAAATGAGACGAGCTCCAGTTTTGATAAATTCCCCCCTCTGTTTTTTGTTGATGTTGTTTTTATATATAATGTAGGCATATCAAAGCTGGTGGGAGGGGCCCATCCATAGAACAATAATCCACTTTAAAGATTGGAATCTGGGACTCTCTATTTATGTGGCAAATTACATGGCATGAAGGTATCCTATCAATGATGCACACAGTGCAGATATTCTAAGTGTATATTGGGGTTGTCATTGACCGTTTTTTCAGCCAGTACTCTGCACAAAATCTACATGCATTGCAACTATTTGAACGTCTGTTGCAAGTCAGATGGTCCCATCTTCTGTGACAACAAAGCACAGATTGCAGCCAGACCATCTTCTGTTTTACAGTTAGGTTTTGTAGCAGAGTGGACATATAGGGCCTGATCGCATTGTATTTTCAACTGATGTTCCATTGTGCCCTTCTCTTTAGGGAAAGGGACTGATTTTTTATTTTAATTTTTTTCTCACCAAATAAATTGACTGGCTTGGGGTGTGTAATCTGTTTCAGCTTATGATCACAACTCATCAGCAAATCATACGTTTCTCTTACTGCTTTTTACCACTGCAGGACAGCGATATATAAACTGAGTGGTCTTAAAGGATTTATACCAAGATCACGCTGCTGCAGTTGCTGGTTCCGTTCACTGAAAAATTATAGGGGCAGTCCAGAATTCCAGCGCTTTAAAGGGGTATGATCTTGAGGGGGGACAAAAAAGAGGGGTTATGAGCAGAGGGTGTTATTGGTGTGCAGCTTCCTGATCGTACAGGTAGGGTGTCTGACACGTGTGACCGTAGAACAAAAGGGAGAAAAGGAAGCGCCACGACCAGGGGGAAGAAATATTGCGAACCAATCGGTGTAGCTTGGTTGATTGCTGGTGTGGTCCGATAGGCTTGACGGTGATGTAGAGGCGAGCAGGTGTTGTACTTTCCCGCTTGGGTGGTGAGTCTTTACACACCACACCTGTGATTTCTCACCTCTCCTCCGTTCTCCACCTTTCCCTCTGATCCCCCAACCACTTAAGCCGGGAAGTACCACACCTGCTCGCCTCTACATCACTGTCAAGCCTATCTGACTACACCAGCAATCAAACAAGCTACACAGATTGGTTCACAATATTTCTTCACCCCGGTTGTGGCGCTTCCTTTCCTCCTTTTTGGTTCTATGGTACCGTTCACTGCAGCTGACTGTTGGCTTTATCATACAAGTGTATGGGTAGCTCTAGAGACACTTGATCACTTGTATGCAGCTTCAGCGTGTGCCCTGCATCCCCAGCTGCCAGGTATCTCAGGCCTGCACAGGGGACAGCAGTGCCCAGGATACCTGGCAGTGGCGGCAGAGGGTGAGCCATACACTGAAGCTGCATCTGAGATCAGCACAGTTGCAGTGTCTGTTCTTACTGAAACCAGAAGTGACAATGATTTCACCACTTCTGGCTCAGGCTTCGTTGCAAAAACTTGTAAATATATCTAAACTTTTACACAGTTAATTATAAAGTGCCACAGAGTCGTATTCCTTCAAATCCACTTGTAGTCCCCCCTAAAACATTTTTTATCTAAACCTATATATAAAAAAAAGTGATATATTATGTAGCACAAATTGGTAGGTGTTTGTTAAAAAACTAGTAGGTGTTTAAAAAACTTGTAGGTGTTTGTTAAAAAAACTAAACATAAGAAACAATATTTATAAATCATAGTCCTAAACAAAAATTCATGATTGTGGACTCCCAGCAGTGGTTATAAGAAGAATGCATGTGTTACACACACAGACATTAGATAATATATTTAGGTAATATAATTAAGTGTGTAAAGATTTATTGAAATATTTACAAGTTTTTGCAGCGGAGTCCCACCACGAATTTTAAAAATGTATAGGGTTAGGGTATGAATAATAAAGTTATATTTTTAATAATATATAAATGAGAGTTTATTGTAAGCTTATTGTTGTGCAGTAGTGTTCATTGGTCCTTTTTTTTTTTTTTCTTTTTTTTTGCATTCTCCAATATAATAATGTTTTGGTTTTTTTTTTGTCTTGCTATAGACAGTCACTAAGCCACCTTGATTTGCTCCGTTTAAATCAAGTTTTTTGGTTTTTTTTTGTCTTGTGGACCTCCAGCTTGACCATTGTAGGAAAATGCTCCGTCATCTTGTTTGATTTGATGATGATTATTATTATTATACAGGATTCATATAGCGCCAATAGTTTGCGCAGCGCTTGATGGATTTATCTTCTGTGTTCCAGATGGCCAGTTGTTTACATGGGGACAGAATAGTCATGGTCAGCTGGGTCTTGGAGAGGGGTTGACCTCCCAGTCTAGCCCACAGCGAGTGAAGTCCTTGGAAGGAATACCGCTGGCTCAAGTGACGGCAGGAGGCTTCCACAGTTTTGCCTTGTCCCTTTCTGGAGCTGTGTTTGGCTGGGGAAAGAACAGCTCAGGGCAGCTTGGTCTGAATGACGATAAAGGTAAAGTATTCTGTTAATGGTGAGAGCCAATAGACTTTTTTGGATTTTGGGAAGCGCAAACAGTATCACTTATTAATAAAATGATAAAGGAAATGTCTTTTAAAGGTATATGTGGCGGTGGAATCGGTAGCCTGTAATAGGTCTACAAAACCATGATGAACTAAAGCAGCGCTCCTGATAAAACAAACATCCTCTACACAATAAATGTAATGCACTCCTTTTATTATATCCCAGCCCCAACCAAAAATGTTTCCCACACTATTTATAACTAAAAAGAAGAGATAGAACCAGTGTCTTCACTGAGGAGATGTTCGCTCACTTCCTGTTCTGTCTGGCCCATGAAAAAGCTGTTGAAGGGCTTCTAACTTATCTTAAATAAGAAATAAACAAAGACATTTTTATACAATGAAAAGGTATCATATTGTAGAACAGAAATTGCTGTATTCCTCATACATTTTATCTAGCTGAGTGCGACCTATTATTTGATGCTATCTGTTGTTCAGGTTGAGGTAATGTTACACTGTCCCCAATAAGAGAATAGGTGTCCAATCAGATGACAATGTTCTCTAACATTAACAGAGAAAGTGCTGCCGCCCTTCCTGGTGTATGAATTACAAAAGGGGCTGAGCAGAATCTGTTGGCAGATAACACGATTCACATAGGTGTTTTTTTCTAACTGTATATTAATCTGTCTGCCTGGAAGTTCAGCTTTAAAAACTTAAGCAGCTTAGCATGCTATTAAATAGTTACAAAGGTTAAAAAAGAGATTAAATATATATTGGAATGAACACAAAGATTATAAGCACTGAATAATGTGTATTTTTAGCGTGCGTCAAGTAATTTGTATTCCCTTCGCAGTCCGTGAATCACCATCCCATGTAAAGGCTTTGCGTTCGCAGAAAGTTGTATACATCAGCTGTGGGGAAGAGCATACAGCTGTCCTAACAAAGGTAAGGCATACCACCCAATGCTTTCGTCTTGTTCTTGTACAAGCTGTTCTACATTCATTTTGTGTCATTGGCTTCTTGCAGACTGGTGGTCTTTTTACCTTTGGATCTGGAGGCTGCGGGCAGCTGGGGCATGATTCTCTTCATAATGAGATCAATCCCAGGCATATAATGGAACTGATGGGCAGTGAGGTATCTCAGATTGCATGTGGCAGGTGAGCTGACAAAGCATAACCCTGTCGTCTTCTAATATTGCATATCCAAAGAAAGAGCAGTGGATGACACATTTGAGCCACACACTGACGCACCTTCCTAAATCTGAATTCTGGACAAAATCCAATGTTACCCTTGCAGTGGGGCTCCCCTGCACTTCAACGGTTAAATGCTCATTTTTAACTAAGGGAAATTTAAAAAAACAGTATTACTTAGCCTATCCCTCACTGTCACAGTCTTCCTCCTCATCCTTCGACTGTTCCCCAAAAGCCTCTTCTCTTTGCTGCTCCATTGATCCTCAACCTGAAACTTTAGATAGAAGAGAAGGGCACTGGCTGTCTGGGGGAGCAAGGGATAAGGTAAGGAAAACTGCTTTTTATCCTTCCCCTTAGACCAGGGGGAGGCAACCTTGGCACTCCAGCTGTGGTGAAACCTCTAAATCCATCATGCCTTTGTCTCTGGGCTGCCAGAGTCTGGCAGTGTCTCATGGAACTTGTAGTTCCACAACAGCTGGAGTGCCTATCCCTGCCCTAGACCAAAAGGAGCATTTGACCTTTGCAGTGCAGAGGAGAGTCCCACTGCAAAAATAACTTTTTATATTTCCACAGAGTTCAGCATTTAAATTATATGTGAAGTGTGGGCAGCAGCAAGTTATCACATCATTTTAATACCAAAGCTCTAAATCACCACATTACTCATAAAAAAAAAAAGGTCTCCTATATACCCTAAGATTCTCTTTTTTTTTGTCCAGCGGTCACATGACTACAATTACTGTCTACACACTGCGGGAGGGACGTGGGTTCTAGTTCTACAGTAGTGCTGCTGCTTTCTTCAGATGCTTTTTTAACTACAGACAGCACGACTCCGTAAAGGAGCTGCTGTCAGTCAAAACAAGCAGGCCTGGGAGGGGACGTGCCATCCAGTGGGCCCTGTCCTTACAGCTCTGCTGCCCTCTATAGTTCTCTATAACATGATTCCGTCAAACGAGCAAGGCTAGGCAGGGGGCATATACAAGAGTACAGGAATCTGTGGGTCGGCACACAAACTGACCACAGCAGCACGATTCTCATTCTGTGCTTGCCGTGGTCAGAATGCTGAGGGAACACCTGCTGAGTGGCAGGATCACCAGTTACTTTCTGATCACCATTATAATTACATAAGAAAAGAACCCTTCAGTAAACTTGCTATGAGCTAAAGAATGCATTTATGCAATGTCATTAATAAGGGTTACAAACACTTTAACCACTTCAGGACCACACTG